AGAGCGGTCCCTACATGTGACTTTGGAGCCTTCCACAGACATTGGAAATGTCCTTTAAAGCTCTTCGCCATCCACGGTGTGTAGGTAGTGCAAATGTAGCTGGGAGTGTCCCATGATCATCAGTGTGGTGCAGTGTGGGGCTCTGCCAGGAGACCTAGCACATCACCTCGCTCCACCTCTACCAAATGTAGCTTTTCATTTGTAAAACGAGCTGTCTCATAGGACAGTTCTGAGACACCAAAGCAATAATTGTTGCAGACATATTTTATAATCTGTAAAGGCTTTACAAATAATTGTTTTATCTAGAAAAAAAAAGAAGTTTGGCTTTTTAAACACAGAGCTTATAGTACACACACAGCTTTAAAATATCTCGCCCTCAGCTCATCTCTCCTGCACCCTTCTCTCTTCTGACCTTTGAGCACCATCGCTCACCAGCCTAAATGCCCCTTGGGAGGGGGTGGCCAACTCCCACGTGGATGGATGGAGGGAAGGGTGATGGGCTGAAAACCAGTGGTCCCCAATTCTATTTCAGTCTGTGAAATCCCTACAACTGGAAAGAATTTAATGGATTTGACACAAGACTTCAGGGGTAAATTGTTTTAAATATCCATGTCATTTGGAGGGTGGGTAAGTCTTAAGTAGGTTATATTCCTCTTTCTTGTGCAGAATTGCTCTTCCAGGGAATAAAGGGTTTGGCCCTGGTGGCCTGGCACCTTTCCCAGGCATCCAGCTCACTTCACAGAACTGAGTGTGCCCCTTACACCAAGCAAGGCCTAAGGACACAAGTTCTTCAAGGTATGCCTTAAAACACCCCAGAAAAATCTAATTTGCTATTTCGTTTTTTGTTGTTGTTATTTGTTCAAATAATCAGTATCCTTAATATACAGGGATACCTGAATAGAGAAAACCTTTCTCTGGTCAGGAAAGGTGTGAGTGAGTCAGGGTCCAGGAAAACCCCACTAGTCTTTAAATAGCTCCCACATGCTTCTGACAAATCACCAAAAGTAAAACCTGTGGTCTTAATCTTAAGATTTTCATCTGTTTTTAAAAAATAGATATATAAATATGTATGATTTAAAAATTGTTGAGTCATTTATGACTTAAAAGGAGAGAAAGAGTTTATCAGGAAGAAAAAGAGAAATGATACTAGGTCGATGGATAGTAAAAGTCCCTTGGCCTCCATCCATTTTCCTGGGACTGTCCTGAGGACTGCCCTGTTCAGTGCTTCCTTCTATTATGAGAGTCTTATTAACTCAAGGTAAATATTGGTCACCAACACATGCCTGTTCTAAAGACCTCACCTGCCCCGAGGCCCTTCACCCTGTGGGAGTCCCCTTCTCTCAGCGCACCGTAATGGGCATGGGTCACCGGCAGAGCTGCCCAGGAAAGGACTCTCCTTTCGGAGTCAGTTTCACTGTGTCAGCCTCAGCCCCCAGAGTCAGGCAGCCTTGGGGACGAGCCACCCAGGTGGCTGAGGCAGTTTAAGTACATTATATGCCCTGGTCCTCACTTTTAGGTTTCCCACTGGAGAAAGTGAGCTCCTGGCATGAAGATGGACTTATGCGGGGCTTCCTTTTGGCCAGAAATGCTTTCTCAGTTACATTTGCTCCATAGCTGTCCTGCCCTCTGCCCTGTTCTTAACTCCTCCTTCTTGGTGTCGCTCCCGTAGGCATTCTTTTATCAGAGTCAGTTCTGGACCAGAAGCAGACAAAGTCCAGGAAGACAGCTTCTTCTGTCATCCTGGCAACACCTGTACAGAACTGCCACTTGGTAAGCACTGCTTGGACGAGTTCTTGTAGCTGAGGCGACCATCAGCCTGGGGACAGGGGGCGGGAGGAGACAGATAACCATCTCATCAACGTTCATGATCAGCCGGCTAATCAGTGAAGTATACTGTTGTTTGAGGACTAACAACACTTAATATTCTTTTTGACAGGTGAGAACAGATAGCTGCCATGGAATCGAAACCTCAGAAGATTCCAGGTACGCATACTCTCAGAAGGAAAAAACTTTTTGTTGAAAATAATGAAAAATTCTCATCAAGCTAACCAGGATACATAGAGAAGATGGTTTTAGTGGCGATAACAGGTGGCATTCTGGGACAATGATTCTTGCTTTGAAGAATGTAGCAGAGGCTTATTGGATTCAGCTAATTATTTCATAAGAGCTCATCTATCTAGAAACTTGGCATTTTCTGATTTTCATGGGCCAAATGTTCCATTTGTTGCTTGAAGATGATACTTACAACAAACTATAGCCCAGAAGGGACTGTAGAGGATTTCCTTAATTTTATATGAAATTTCTCACTTGGAAAACTTTCCTAACTTGTCTTCAAAGCTAATTATGGGGGTAGTATTCAGATGTTCTTGCTCATATTTACATAGATCATTGCAGGTGAGTAGATAGAAGAGCTGAGTTTAAGATGAAGTAATTTAGAAATGAAATACTTCAATCCGATTCAAAAAATATTTTGAATATTTATTTAAAGCACCTGCCACTAGTAAGTCACTGTGCTTCATACTGCAGAAGACATACAGATTAACTTGTAAGAGTCCCTGTTCTCATAGAGTTTTAGTGGCCATAAGTCATTGGGAAGTTAAGCACATACAATCAGACTATGCTAGGAATTGAGACAGAAGTGCACAGTGCTGTGGGAATCTGAAGAAGAAAAAGCATACAAGTAGCTGTCATTGAGATTTTGAAAGAGGTTGTATTGAACCTATAGATGTGGATCTAAGTTCATTATTTTTTGCATATGGATATCCAACTGTTTCAATGTCATTTATTGAACTGGTTATCCTTTCTCCATTACGCTGCCTTTGCATCTTTGTTAAAAATCATTTTTCCATAGACGCATGGATTTCTAGACGATGTATTTTGTTCTATTGCTATATCTGCCCTTTTTCTGTGTTGTTTTAGTTGCTACAGCTTTATAATAGTTCTTGAAATCAGGTACTGTGAGTGTTCTAATTTTGGTCTTTTTTTCAGTTATTTTGACTATTCCAGGCACTTAGCATTTTCATATGAATTTTCGAATCCGCTTGTCAATTTTAAGATTCTGTTAATTGCATAGCATGTCATTAAAGACTTCTAAGACCAAATTTTCACAAAATATTAACATTTCCTGAACCCTCTAAATTGAACGCCACCAAAGAGCATCTCTATTATAGGCAGATTGAAGACTGGTTTATTCTGTAAATGACTAAGTCTAAAGTTTCCTCTATTTTTTAATAATACTACCCTTCAGTGAGTCCCACTGTGTGCCAGGCCCAGTACTGAGAGTGTTCTATGCATTAACCCTTTCAGTCCTCATCACAAGTCTACGAGGTCAGTGCTGTTGCCTGCATTTTAAGATGAAGATACTGAGGCAAATTTAGTGATTCAAGATGCTCCATAAATATTTGTTCATAAACAAATCTGTGAATTTGTCCAAGGCCACACCAACTACTAAAGGAGTTGAAACTTATTTCTACACGGTTTCCTTCTGTTTTTCTTTTCTTTTCTTTTTTTTAGAGGGGTTGGGGCAGAGGGCAGGGGAGCAGGAAGAGTTGCTGCAGAATGGGAGGGAGAGGAGGTGAGGACGTCTGCCTAAGAATTACTGGATACTAGCATAATGGCCCCATCAGCTGTCTTACCTAACTCTGATTCTGTTTTCACTGAATAAAAAAGCTCTAATTCTTTAGTAAAAGCTGCCTTTCCCAAAACCAAGAACAAACTACCAGTATAGCCTGGATGTGAAAGCAAAACCAACCAAGCTCTTCAAAAAAAAAATTTTTTTTTTTAATAACGTTAGTTGTGCTTTCTAAATAATGGATGTAGTTTATATTTCTTATAGACATCTTGGAAAATATAGAAAAAATATCAAAATTGCATATAATTGCAGCACTTACAAGGAAGCATTTAACGTTTCCGTAACCACTTTTGCTGCCTCGTTTTCAAAAGCAGGTGGTTTCGCTTTAGTTTGCTAAGCCAAAGGGCAAGGCAGAATTATCGCTCCTTGGC